GATAACATGACCACATCAGTGTCAAACAGCACAGTGAAAAATGTCTGTGGAGGTGGCGTGGACACAGCACAGTGAGAAGCATCTGTGGAGGAGTGGATACAGCACAATGAGGATGGTCTTTGGAGGTGGTGTGGACACAGCACAGTGAAAAGCATCTGTGGAGAAGGAGTGGATACAGCACAGTGAGGATGGTCTCTGGAGGTGGCGTGGACACAGCACAGTGAGAAGCATCTGTGGAGAAGGAGTGGATACAGCACAGTGAGGATGGTCTCTGGAGGTGGCGTGGACACAGCACAGTGAGAAGCATCTGTGGAGAAGGAGTGGATACAGCACAGTGAGGATGGTCTCTGGAGGTGGCGTGGACACAGCACAGTGAGAAGCATCTGTGGAGAAGGAGTGGATACAGCACAGTGAGGATGGTCTCTGGAGGTGGCGTGGACACAGCACAGTGCATTCGATAGAGTGTGTAGAGACAGAGCCTCAAAAGTGAGACCCACCTATAGTTTGGTGGGGTATGAACCTACTATCGCCAGCCTTAAGCCTCACTTAGACAAGGTATGCAATAACACCGGATGAATGATCAGTCACCTTTTGGTGCATACTACACAAAATAGGGCAAAAAAACTACAGAAACAGATCTGTAATGTTTTTGCAAGTTGACCCCATGTGTATCTATGGAGAAGCGTTGCAGTAGCTTTACACAACAGTTGGACTGCATACGTGGGGAATAATCATTTTTGATTCTGAAGAAGCTCAAGTAGGTAAATTATGTGTATGGAGATTGTTTCATCTGACCAACAACATGTTACAGTTAGGGCTGCAACAACTAATCGACATAATCGATTATTGAAAAAGTTGTCAACTTTTTCAATAATCGATTAATCGGCTTCCGATCATTTGGCCCTGTTCACGGCTCCACGCGCTGAGCGCCGCACCTCCTCCCCAACTCACGCTCACCGCTGCCAGGCCCGCCTGCCCACATCCACGTTCTACACGCCGCACCTCCTTCCCGCCCGCCCACATCCACGATCGGCACAGGGACGCGGGGAGATGTAGTAAGGAGGAGCAGGTGTTGGGGGATGACAGCCGCCGATAGACAGGCCTGATCTCAGAAGCAAGTTGCTGGAAGACTGCTCAGGTAAGCCTGCACTTTCCCACACATGGTGCTCTGTAATGTATTGCTGGGATTTGTATTCCTCTATAGCTGATGGTACATTGTGCTGTATATTATACATAGGAATACAAATCCCAGCAATACATTATACAGTTTGTATAATGTATTGCTGGGATTTGTTGTACTCCACTATAGTTGGTGATATTCTGCACTAACTAGCCTAACATTCTGTCTCCTGTGTTCAATGCAAGATTGTAGTCCAAAATCATTGGGACAGACATGAACAGAGTTTTATATCCCATGTAGTTCATACTTGGAGGTGGTTTCTGTAAAGAATGGCAAAGGAAAGAGATACATTATAGCAGGGGCGCCCACTATTTTTCATCTGGAGATTTACTTTTCAAATGACGAGTTCAATGAGATCTACCAACGAAAAAACACCTGCATTCAGGGGCGGGAGGGGGCGTGGCGGTGCATTGAAGTCAATGGCACCGCAGCCAGGCCCCTCGCCCACAGTGCGATCGCCTGCATTAGTGCCTGTGTTCCAGTCCAGTGCGATCCGCAAAAATTCTGCGAGCACTATTTTTGCAGATTGCACTGGACCGGAATGCAGGCACTAACGATCGCAATGTGGGCGATGCCATTGACTTCAATACAGCTCCACACCCCCTCCCGCACCTGAACGCAGGGAGTCGGCCGGCTTACATTCCAGTGCGCCCTACAGGTCCCGGCGTCCTGTCCTCCCGTGGTGCTCGTGTGGCCGACGTTGCACATGGGGTGTCCTGCACCTTTCCATCTGCAGTGTCTGACACATTCAGCCGGCAGCCGCACGAGCACCACGGGAGCATAGCCGTAGCCAGCTCCTTTCGCGCCTGAGGCAAGAAAAAAAACAACGTTTAATTTATTTATTTTTTCATTTTCATTATTTATTTTTCTTTTCTTTTTTACTCTTGGGGGGGCTTCGGGGAAATATTAGGGGTCTAAAAAGCCCCTTGATATTTCCCTTTTAAAATAGAAAAAGAGGACACAAAGTCCTCAATCTCATTGTCTGCAGCCTCTATTCTAAATGAATGGAAAGCACAGAGGCTTCCCATTCATTCAGAAAATATTTTACTATCAAGCAGTTTCTGAATGGGGAGGAGCCTCTATACAGAGTGCTTCTCCCCATTGGGAAACTCATGAATGAATAAAAAGTGATGTAAATCACATCCTGTTCATTCATTTATAACTGGGGACACATAGTACTATGTGTCCCCAGTTATTTACAAACACTGGTGTGATCAGCCGATCGCTCCAGTGTTTGTCCTGCACAGAGAATTGGTACATACTAGTGACATGTACCGATCCTCTGCCGCTCGTCCACGCACAAGGGGGCTCAGCTTCTCCTCTGGATCCCCCTGCTCTCCCGGGCAGAGGCAGCGGGGATCCGACGAGAAGTGAAAGAGCACTTCAGCCGCGGGGGCGGAGCCGCTGTGACAGAATGGACGAGCAGTGAGGGGAGAGAGAGGCGCCGGCTGTCAGATCCTGGCCGAGCGTCTCTCTCTCTCTCTCCATACCGCTCTGCATTAGTTCTGTGACAGCGGCTCCGTCCTCCCCCGGTTCCTTCACTTCTTCTCGGATCCAGCGGGGATCCAGAGAAGCGGCTACGCGATCGACCGGTAGATCGCGATCGACCTTGTGGGCACCCCTGCATTATAGTTTCACTCCCATGGCGGGGGAAATAGAGAAAGTGCTGTATTGCCTTTTTTAACAATCCTGTACCAAGGTAGATAGGGACTGCGATTACTGACCTTCTGAAAATGCTAGTTACCCGACTGTCTCTGGATTCAATACATTGATCCATTGGCCTTGAACAAGCACACCGATCTGTAAAATCTGAACTTCATAATGTGCAAACTTGTTCCAAGTATCTTAGGAGGCCACTGAATCATGACAGCTAGTGATCAAGCATTATTTCAAGAAGAGATCAACAATGGCAGCATAACCTTACTTGACAGTAGGGATGGACTGATGCCGACATCGAGTATTTGGGCCAGTACTCCTACCTGAATGCGCTGATACTTACTTCCGATACCAGAAATTCTGGTCAGAGGGAGATTTCCTTTGATTGGCAGTGCCACGAGGGAACATGGAGCCGGCTTCCTGATTGGCCGAGTAGCCGGCTCTATGCTGATTGGCCGGGAAGCCAGCTTCCTACCCAATCAGCATGGACCCGATTTCCCGGCCAATCAGGAAGCTGGGCAGTGGGTAATGACCCGCACCACTGAGGTACTGATCACAATACAAGCAAGTGGCTTTATTGCCTGTTGCGGTTAGAATAATGCCTGTGTAGCTTAGCCTAAATCATTCAGAGGAATCTGCGGACTTAAGTAAAAAAAAAAAAAAAACTTGCTTTATACTGCACACAGTACATATACTTTACATTACTAAAAGGTGATTAAAAATACTTTAATAAAACTCCCAAATATCTCCCGCATACCAGAGGAGCCCTCGGATCACAGGTGTACATTCTACGTTAGTCATGGACCTGTCTTTGCTGTCAAACTATCCAAAGAAACAGCTGCAAAAAAAAGCCCTATTATTGATTTGCAAAAGGCAAGAAGAAAATCCATGTCAGAGAAATTGATTTTCCCATTACAGTGTGTGGCTAGGATTAGAGAGCTTCCAGAAGCATAGACAGGACTGTGAGATTTTCATGCCAGCTCTTAAAGTAGCAATACACTACTTAATCTTATTTTGCAATCTCTGTACAATCTCCTTTAGAGAGTTACCAAATCGATGTAATATGAGGACAAACCTCAGAAATCCATTCAATTTATATTAAACCAGGCAGGCCCTTGCACTACATAGTTGATAGTAGATCTATAGGAGATTGCAAAATCAGGACTACATAGTGTCTAGTCATCCTTGGGCAATACACTTAATTACAAACCTGACAGGTTCACTTTAATCAGTGTTGTGTATACCTGACACAACTGTCTGGTCAATACACACAGGACATTCTCTGGAATCCTGCAATGGCTGAGAAACTTTGGATTTCCACAGAGTCACAAAAACACAACTGGTAAAATATATTTTAAAAAAGGACAGCGTTCATCTATATATAAAATCTTACTTTATTAATATTTTTGATAGACTGTTGATTGCATAAGTCCTTCACCCATCATGGCAAGCAGCCTGCAATTTAGTGATAGTTTCTAGCTATGTACACACCCTGTGTTTATGACAACCAGCTGAGATCCTGTAATAAACCCCAGGCCCTGGATGCAGGGGCGTCCCGAGGCTGGGTGACACCCGGAGCGGTAACCGAGTGTCACCCCGCCGAGACGTCACTGCGCATGACGTCACCGCGCACAAGTATTCTGATACCTGCCAGCGGACATCTTGGTGATGGACGCCGGCAGAGAGAGGAGGGGACAGTCACCCAGTGGGATAAGGTATGCCATCGGGTCCCCTCCTCTCTCCTGATACTGTCGGGCGTTCGGTCCATGACCGAGCGCCCGACTTTTCAGAGGGGGGTGACACCAAAATGACAGTCATTTTGGTGTCACCCCTCCAATGGTGTCACGCGGGTGCGGGCCGCACCCCCCCCCCCTTGTGACGCCACTGCCTGGATGGAAGAAGCAGAAAGAACAGAGGCCCTTGACTGGAAATTATGTCTCAGCTCCTAGTTTTAACCAGACAATAGGCACAGAATTTTATGGAATTCCCTAAAGAATAAGTACACCTCAAATTATATAAAATAAAAAAAAACTGCATTGCACCTCAATCCAGGCTGGTCATTCTTCAACAGCTTGCAACCCAAAACATAACTTGTTCCCTGAGGGAAGTAGACAGTACGCAGGATTCCATTAGTGCGTGCAGTAGAGTATCCCCAAAAATCCCTTGGATGTGCTTTCTCATTGATACAGAAGCTTGGGGTCTGGTAGCATGCTGACATAGAGGGATGTTGGAGGTGCACATCCCGTTTATGCAGCAGTACGGTGTTGAGATGTACAGGTGACCTCATCAGCCATCAAAAAAGGTAGACGCATCTGTAAACTTGCTTGATTTGCCTGGATATAATTAAGGTGCTAAGGTGTGTTAAAAGTCTACTTGTTTCTTAATTACTGGGCCTGTACTTCACTTCTGCAATACTACTAAAGTAATTACCCAGGTTAATGTGCTCAGTAAAAAGTTTTATGTACATATACAATTCCAGCTAGTAGTGGATGTCTTCCCTGGAGAGTGTTTTGGATCCAGCTGTCATCCATGAGGTTATTTTCATTTCACACCGTAGATGTAAAAAAAAAAATGTCTCCGTAGTGCATGTACTGCAGAATGAGTTCTGCACATATGGAAATGATCGGCAATGCTGCATAAATCGCATGCTACCGTCAGCTGCCCCCAAAGATTAGTAGAACATCCTCATCTGTGCCGTAGCTGCTTCGGGCTTCTTCAAAGTTAGTGATGCTTGTCCGACACAATCCTGAAGGCAGATGTCATGTTAAATACTATGAAATGAGGTTTGTGATTACTCATAGAAATACAGGTGAAACTCGAATAATTAGAATATCGTGCAAAAGTAATTGCAGTAATTGCTGCAAAAGGGGCCCAAACCAAGTACTGAGTACATATGCATGCTTGTACTTTTCAGAGGTCCGATATTGTTCTATGTACAATCCTTGTTTTATTGATTGCATGTAATATTCTCAGTTTCTGAGGTTGTGGATTTGGGGTTCTTGGGGTTTTCATGAGCTGTAAGCCATAATCATCACAATTATGACAAATCACGGCTTGAACTATCTTGCTTTGCATGTAATGAGTCTATCTCATATATTAGTTTCACCTTTTAAGTTGCATTAGTGAAATAAATGAACTTTGCACGTTATTCTAATTATTCGAGTTTCACCTGTATAGGTTACAATACACAAATCAAGTTACTCACTGTCAGCGTATCCTGGATTGTTGTAGAAAAGACCGCCAGAGCTTTTGTTGTAACCACAAAGTACAATAAAGTGGCCTTGGTAATCGGTGCTTCTGCAGAAACATTTCTGTCCAATTGGAAGAAAGCAGCAGTACTTAACGCGACTAGGACACAGATCACACAATAGAAGAACAGCATTTACTAGTACTATGGCCACATGTCCCTGGGAAAGATGGTTTTGCAATTCCTGTATCGTAACACTCCTGTAAAACAGAGGACATGTGTAAGAACAAGATATTATAAAAGGCAGTTTAAATGGTGTATTTTATGACCGTGCACACGTACCTTTTTTCCACATTGACACCATGGGTTTTGGCTTGTGCAAATAGCTGGTTTACTCTGTTCTCCTCTGCATCAAAGTGCTTTCTGTAGAAAGACTGAACAGATTTGATATTAGTGATAAGACATACAAATTAAGCACTGTGATCTTTTAGCTAAAAGGGTAGGAAAGGTTTTATCTATAGCTACTAAATAAACATACTGCAAAACTGTACACGCATTGAAAGCAGCCTGATGGTAACTTTGATGGCTAATGCATGCACAGAGGCTGCACGTAAAAGCAGCAATCAATGGCGATGCCAATTAATAGGAGTGTCCAAGTCACTTTTTGTGATGATATTCTTATTACACATAACTTGAAAGTGAAAGTGAACGTGTGGCCAGACTGTGCACATTAACCTGTATACGTTCAGTATAAGCAATTTACAAACAACCCTCATTCACTGTAGCTATAGGCATTGCTAAAAAAGAGAAGCGCTGAAATCGCATATCCTTTACTTTCTATTGAGAGCAGAATCTGCTGAATACACACACAAGGTGCGGTTAGAAACCAACAGAAACCCAACTTTAGGCCCCATTCACATTAAGCGACATACCTCACAAGCGGATCCGCGCGGCCAGGATAGCACGACTGTTCGAGGCGACGTTCCAGCGGCGATCGCGTGACCTTCACCGTCGGGCTGCATGCAAAAAAAGTAAAATTGCGACTTCCGCTGAGAAAAAGGGTCCCGGGACAGCGACATGGAGCTGTTCAATAGAACAGCTCCATTGACTTACATTGGACGGCTTTTCAACTCCTTGTTACAGCTTATTAAGGACATGTAAATACCTTAAAAGGAGAACTATGAGGTGAGTGCTTTTCACTCACCTCATAGTTCTAGCCGACCTGTGACAATGAGACTGTCACAGGCCGGCTCAGTAGATCGGGAAGTGAGCGAACACATACCCGCGTTCGCTCACTTCTCGATCCTGTCATGGCTCTCTGCCGTGACAGGGGAGGGGCTGGATTCCCCTCTCCGATCCGCCAGCGCTGACTGGCGGAACGGATGGGGAGGGGGGCTAGCTAGAGGCAGAGCCAGCTGTCACGCAGCTGGGCGTCCCCCTCCCCGCCATTTTTTGCTCACATAATAAATTGCACATTATAGGCCTGAAAATAATGTAAACCCCCAAATATTAGATATTTTCTCAGAGCAGAGAACCTGTAAAATAAAAGGATAGTTATAAATGTTTTTCTTGCACAATGTATATTTTTAGTATAAAATACACTTTAATTTTAGTGCACACAAACACAACAAACTCCCCATTTTTTGAAAATATAAAAGAGGAGATTGTGTCAAGTAAATACAACAAACATGTCAAGCCTTAAATTTGTGAGCACCTGTGAAACAGCGACAAACTACGATACCCAATATTGTCCATACAGTCGTGGCTAAAAATATTGGCAATACTGTCAGGAAATGCACCACTTTGCACAGAAAATTGTTGCAATTACAAATGTTTAGGCCTTCTCATGTTTATTTCTTTTGTTTGTATTGGTGTATGATACAAAAAAGTGGAGAGAAAAAAAAGCAAAATCTGACACATTCCACGCAAACTCCAAAAATGGACAATAGATGCAATACTTTTGATTAGGATTCACTGCAGCTACTCTATATACTATCTACTACTACTGTTATATTGAATCCCTAGATTAATATATGCAGCACAGCAGCCATTAGCCAGCACAATGTCACACCTAGATATTTACTGCCACTTTGCTCCCTTTTGGTGGCGAGTGCATGGGGGGGTCTGCTGCATTTTAATGAGCAGAGGGGTGGAAATGGGAATCCCCAGCTCATCCCTATACTCTATAGACTGCAACAATTTCACTTTGCCAGCGCTGTGCACCTCCACCCCCAGTGAATTCTGGGAACAATGGCATTTGCCTTTGGTGATTTGTTTTTAAAAAGGTATAAGCTCCAGAAACTTTAACTCTGCTTCATTACTTAGTGAGTCAGTTGAAGTACTATATATAGCCATGCAAGTCAGGATTTATTTTGGGTCAGTAGCAACACTAAAGGGCCTCATGTATAAACCTTCCGTAAAGCTTTACGTTAATTGGTGCCAGGGAGCATAGGAGATTACTATGCCCCATGCTCCTTAGCACCATCTAGTGGTGGTAATGCTGTGTGAACGACATTGGCCCAGTAGTGAAGCAGGAATAATAACAGAGTTTAAGCTTGTTCCTTTAGAAACTCATCGCTTCATGGCATCACATGAACCTGGAAGCAACACAAGAGTTACTTACCAAGACCAGGAACAGCAGCAGGGAGCGAGGAAAGTACTACTCAATTTTGGGATATTCTTCTCTGCTGGGATGTGCACAAATCATTGGATTCAGATGTTCCAATCACCTCCATGGCCACAGGTGTATAAAATCACACACCTAGGCATGCACACGTTTCTACAATCATGGGTCGCTCTCAGGAGCTCAGTGAATTCAAGCGTGGTACCGTGATAGGTTGTCACCTATGCAATAAGTCCATCCGTGAAATTTCCTTGCTACTAAATATTCCACGGTCACCTGTTAGTGGTATTGTAACAAAGTGGAAGCAACTGGGAACAACAGCAACTCAGCCAGGAAGTGCTCGGCCACGTAAAATGACAGACCGGGGTCAGCGCATGCTGAAGCGCACAGTGCGCAGAAGTCGCCAACTCTCTGCAGAGTCAATAGCTACAGACCTCCAAACTTCGTGTGGCCTTCAGATTGGCACAACAACAGTGCGTAGAGAGCTTCATGGAATGGGTTTCCATGGCCGAGTAGCTGCATCCAAGCCTTACATCATCAAGTGCAATGCAAAGCGTCGGATGCTGTGGTGTAAAGCACGCCGCCACAGGACTCTAGGGAGGTGGAGACGTGTTCTCTGGAGTGACGAATCACACTTCTCTGTCTGGCAGTCCGATGGACGTGTCTGGGTTTGGCGGCTGCCAGGAGAACGGTACTTGCCTGACTGCATTGTGCCAAGTGTAAAGTTTGGTGGAGGGGGGGTTATGGTGTGGGGTTGTTTGTCAGGGGTTGGGCTTGGCCCCTTAGTTCCAGTGAAGGGAACTCTTAAGGCATCAGCAAACCAAGACATTTTGGACAATTTCATGCTCCAACTTTGTGGGAACACTTTGGGGGTGGAACCAGTGCACAAAGCAAGGTCCATAAAGACATGAATGAGCGAGTTTGGGGTGGAGGAACTTGACTAGCCTGCACAGAGTCCTGACCTCAACCCGATAGAACACCTTTGGGATGAATTAGAGCGGAGACTGCGAGCCCGGCCTTCTCCCCCAACATCAGTACCTGACCAATGCACTTCTGGAAGAATGGCCAAACATTCCCATAGACACACTCCTAAACCTTGTGGACGCCTTCCCAGAAGAGTTGAAGCTGTTATAGCAGCAAAGGGTGGGCCAGCTCAATATTGAACCCTACGGACTAAGACTGGGATGTCATTAAAGTTCATGTGCGTGTAAAGGCAGGCGTCCCAATACTTTTGGCAATATAGTGTACATACACCTTTGTAACTTTTCACTGCTGACAGCCTTGTGGTTTAAAGCAGTTGCACTGGGCTTTCGAAGCTGAAACCCTGTTTATTGTAAATTTAGCATCATGGCAGACCATCAGCTGCTTGCCAACGCGAGTGAGAAATACAAACACTGTAGATTGTACCCTTTACATCTAATGAAACCACTTACTTGATTTTTGTACCCTTTGTCTACACCCAGTGTCTGTGTGCAGAACCGGTGCTGTACCCTAAAGTAGTGCATGAGATACGCCAGGTCAATTGTCCAAATACTTTTTGTGAGTTGGAGCACCTGCATTGCATTCTGGAAATCATCCTCATGAAGACGATTAAGATATCTAGAGGTAAAATAGAATTAGAGAAAGGCGTAAACAAATGGCTGAACCCAATTACAAATGCAAGCCTCATACATGTTAAATGGTCAACTACAATGCCTGAGCACTGTCATACGGGGGCAGGAGGAAGATCCTGTTATTTTGCTTTGAATGACATTTCCTAAAGCGGTAGTAAGCCACTATGTGAATGGTGGGTATACTTACATTAAGCCCTCAGCCACACTTTTTTCAGCGTTTTTTGGGGGGCAGAAAAAGCTGTACAAATCTTCCGTGCCAAAAAAACTCCATTCATTTCTATGGCCATGTTCACATCTGAGCGTTTTGTCGCTTAAAGCAAAACGCCCATCGCTTAAAGTACATGAGCTTCTTTTTGGCAGATTCTGCTCTTCTTGACCTCAGACTTCAATGTAAGTGCATGTTTGCCCATTCACATCAATGTGTCAAGATCTGCTTTGCAAAAAGGCGCCACACTGTATTCGCGCATTTTACGTGTGTGGAAAAAAAACAAAAAACACAAAAACTCACATATTCTATGTCGCTCAGGTGTGAATGAGGGCTTAAGGGAGAACTATGAGGCGAGTGAAAAATCACTCAGCCTCATAATCTGAGCCAACCTGTGACAATGAAACTGTCACAGGTCGGCTCAATGGATCGGGAAGTGAGCGAACACATAACGTCGCTCGCTCACTTCTCGATCTATCCGTGCAGAGAGCCGTGACCGTCACTCACGGCTTCCTGCAGGGATTTCCCCCCCCCCGTCCGATCCTCCAGCGCTGACTGGCGGAACGGACAGGGGAGTGGGCGGGTACAGCTGGCTCTGCCTCTAGATAGGCAGAGCCAGCTGTCACTCACGTAGCTGGGTGGATCCAGACAGAACTGTCGGGATCCATTCCTTGCTGTGGCGTCTCAGTATACCACGAGCTGTAGCTCGCGGTATACTGAGCTTTGGGTGACGGGAGGACTCTAGTTTGTGTCCTCCCGTTACCCTAAGGAGAACTATGGGGAAAAGCCCTAACCCCATAGTTCTTCTTTAAAGTATGCTCTTCTCCAGCGCTGTCAGATCAATCTTCGCCAACACTTCTAGATTCCCAGCCATCCTCTTCAGCCATTAAAGGAGAACTATGGGGTTAGGGCTTTTCCCCATAGTTCTCCTTAGGGTAACGGGAGGACACAAACTAGCGTCCTCCCGTCACCCTAGGCTCAGTATACCGCGCGCTGCAGCTTGCGGTATACTGAGACGCCGTAGTATACCACGAGCTACTGCTCCCGGTATACTGAGATGCCACAGCTGAAGCGGATCCCGACAATTATGTCTGGATCCGCCCAGCTGCGTGACTGACAGCTGGCTCTGCCTATCCAGAGGCAGAGCCAGCTGTACCCACCCCCTCCCCTGTCCGTTCCGCCAGTCAGCGCTGGAGGATCGGAGCGGGGAGGGGGGAATCCAGCCCCTCCCCTGTCACGGCAGAGAGCTGTGACAGGATCGAGAGGTGAGAGGGCGCCGGTATGTGTTCCCTCACCTCCCGATCTACTGAGCCGACCTGTGACAGTCTCATTGTCACAGGTCGGCTAGAACTATGAGGTGAGTGAAAAGCACTCACCTCATAGTTCTCCTTTTAAGTGGTCACTAATGATGCAACTCCTGCACATGCACACAGGACTTGCATCCTCCCCAGCAACAAGATCATACATGAGATCTCAGAGAGTGTGCACACTGCTCGACGCATGTGCCATACAGTATACACAGAAAATAAGAAATTGTTAGGGGTAAAAAAAGAAGACATTTTTGGACAGAAGAGACTTTGCTTGTTTCTTTTGCCAAAAATCCGTACCACCCAGCAATTTCCCTATTTTTGTTGCTTTACTTCCTCTTTAATATTACACTTATGTGAGTACACTGCACGTTACCAAACAGTTACAGCAACATGTACATGTGTCAATCAGGCCCCTTACATGTAGAATGGGAGGTTCTAAAAATCTACCAATATATTTTGCTGATGTTGTGAAATTCCTGGTAAGTTTCTACAGTCTCTGCTACTAGCAGGTATGAATACTAATAAGAAGGGGGGGGGGAGGATTAGCAACACTGACGCTTTGCTTGAGATGTAATGTATCCTCCTGAATCCTCCTGAATTCAGTCTGGCAGCACAGAAACAATTATAGTAAGGGTTATTCTAAAAGGCAGTAATCCACAGCAACCAACATTCACCGATCTATGGTCTGTTGCTATGGGTTACCATGTCATCATTAACCTTTAAAATACACATGACAAATTCTATTTTCTGGCTCATAAGAAATACCTTGGTTTTGTATGCCTGAGTCCTTAAAAGGAGAACTGTGATGTGAGTGATTTTCACTCAACCTCATAGTTTGAGCCAACCTGTGACAATAAAACTGTCACACGTCGGCTCAATAGATCGGGAAGCGAGCGAAAACATACCGTCGCTCGCTCACTTCGAGATCATCTCCCGGCAAAGAGCCGTGACTGTTACTCACGGCTCCCTGCAGGGAGCGAACACATACCGTCGCTCGCTCACTTCTCGATCTATCCGTGCAGAGCCGTGACTGTCACTCACGGCTCCCTGCAGGGATTCCCCCCTCCCCTGTCCGATCCTCCAGCGCTGACTGACGAAACGGACGGGGGAGGGGGCAGGTACAGCTGGCTCTGCCTCTAGATAGGCAGAGCCAGCTGTCAATCACGCAGCTGGGTGGTTCTCGACAGTAATGTCGGGATCCGTCCCGGCTGCGGCGGTCTCAGTATACCGCGAGCTACTGAGCTTTGGGTCACGGGAGGACGCTAGCTTGTGTGCTCCCATGACACTCAAGAGAACTATGGGGATAAGCACTGACCCCATAGTTCTCCTTTAAATGTCGAAAAAGAGACTCATACAAGTGAAGTATGATAACTTACTGTAGTACCATACGTGCACAGGCCAAGCCGCAATCCCAGTGATATGACTGCTGGATGAGAGGAACTTTCAGCTGGACATGGTCACCTAAAACAAAAGACAGCTTGATTGAGCATACAGTGCAATCCGATATACATTTATAAAAAAACACCTTTCATGCAACAGTTCAGTTTTGCATGTAACAATCACATTTTTATTGAGCAACAATAACAGGTCAAAATTGCACAGCCGCACTGGACCCCTCTAGATTTAATCAGATAAACAATAGATCGATTGATATGCTGTATATAGTAGGTGCTGATATGATGGCATTTCCTAGCGAGGACCATACAAAGTATTTGCAGGACAGATGGGGTGTATACAGGTGGTCAGGGCATGTAGAAGTGGTACAGGTTGTGTGTACACGGACTGAGAAAATACAATCGATCAAGAGCAGTGTGCACTACACCATCATCAAGGGGTTGCCAGTGGTTACTGCCGTGGTTGCCTGTGCTGCAGTGAAATGGATGTGTGGGTGGGTGGTCACTGTGCGGTGCTGTCAGGCCAGGAATAACACATAGAAGGTTACTGACGGTTGTCCGTGCCGTCCGCTGTAGATGCAGAGCCTGGCGCGGCCTGACCACCATCACTTTCTCCATTTCCTGGACTCTTCATGACCGTGTTGTCGCCTCCCGGAATTGTGAGGAAACCGGAAGTAATGCGGTCCCACAACTCGATAAGTTCGTAGTTTTGATCGATCACCGGTCCCCTTCAGGCGCATCCGGGGCGGAGCAGCAGCACGTAGGCTGGGATCCCCAGGAACACCGAAGTCTTTCTAAGCACCGGAAGTGAGGTATTGGAGATTTCGATGAGTTGGAGCTTTCGATAGAACATCGGCCAGTGTAGTCGATAAGTTGGAACTTTTGATAGAACACCGGATGTGTTCTGGCCACGCCTACACCATAGGATGGGGCCATAGACTGTTAGAATCTCATAGCCTACGCCCTACGCCATAGGATGGGGCGGGGCTATGCTCAGATGGGCAGGGAGTTCATGCTCTGACGCTTCTTGAAGTACTGTACACTGTCACTGTGATTTGTATATGAGTGCAGGGAAGAATGTTCTATACCCCTCCGGTGTATTATAGATTAGGACCTTGGGTAAGAGGCAGAAATGGAGTCCCTTGGCTGGAATAGTGCAAGTCCTCAAAGCCAACCTAGCACAGAGACATATAGGGCAACTTTGCACACTAGCTGCGGTCAAACTACAAATCCCATGGTTCTTCTTCCTCTGGGAGTCATGCCTGTAGCTGTCAGAGTCTGGCAGTGCATCATGGGACTTGTAGTTCAACAACAGCTGGGTTGGCAATAGTGCAGCCGACAAGCCTTTAGATTTGGTGGCTGCCTTGGATTTCTTTTTTTTTTTCACCAGTAAAAAACCAAAACCAAAAATACTTATTAATCAAGCCAAAAATTCAGTGTCTCATTTCCTTTGCATTGAACTGAAATTTAAGTTAATGTTTCAATGTTATTAGTCTTTCCAGTTCTCTACGGACTACAGAAGTCCTAACCCACTTCCTGTCCTAGGGTGACAACCCCACACTTTCATAGAGTACAGTGAGTAGGTGTTGTCACCCTAGGACAGGGAGAGTGTTACTGTCTGGATCACGAGGCGAAACTAAAGAAAAGAGCCTGAAAAAAGGAAACTAATGCAGCCACCACATCTAAAGACTGCTAAGCTGCAATATATTACATTTTTAGTTTTGGGTTTAGATACGCTTTATTTTTCCAAAAACGTATGTTAACTTTTTGTAGGAGTTTACTGAGACAGGTTCAAAAGCTGAGAATTTTTTTTACAAGGGAGATATGATATTGTTGCTGTAATATGGTGCAGCTCTTTAATATCTCTTGCACACATGGGGGCAGGGGGAAGCTATTTCGGGGCCCTTAAAAGGGAAAAATCTAAACCAGACCCTTGCAGTGGGCCTCCCTGCACTGCTAAGGGTTAAGTGCTTGTTTTGTCTATGGGGCTCACACAAGGCTGTTTTACTCGATTGATCCTCGGTCCCAAGGCAGCCGGCCTATATGCTTCTCCGCTCTGGCTCCGGCTATGGAACGTCCCTCAGCATCCTCACGTCTAATGCAAGTCAGTGAACCTGTATAAGACATGCTGACATCAGCGGTCCTTAGACCGCCAGAGCCCAGGGGAGAAAAGGCTGAGGGGACTGGTCTGGCAGCCCGGTGGGACCAAGGATCAGGTAAGTAAATCTGCTTTATTTGAGTCCCCTAGACAAAGCAAACACTTAACCCTTGCAGTGAGGGAGTAGCCTCACTGCAAGGGTAAGTTTTTCATTTTCCCAGAGTTCTTCTTTACGAGTGTGGGGCCCCCGAGCAGTTGCCGTCCCTGTGTATACCTCCTAACACTCTAAGATTGGAAAGAGGGACTCTTTAGCATGTAGCCGAAGGACACACCTGTCACATCTCAAGTATATAGATTATGAAGAAATATAGGAATAAGTACTAGGAATGCACTGATACAATTTTTTCAAGACCAGGTACAAGTACTTTCCCTCAGGTATTTGCCGATACCGATTATGATACTTTTTCTTAAAGGGATATCACTTTTACATTTTTTTAACCCTTTTATCACTTTTTTTATTTTATTATTTTGCATTTTTTTATTTTATTTTTTACATTTTTATCACTTTTTTTAACCTTTTTTAGCACTTTATTTTTTAATTTTTATTTTATGGACCGTGGGGAGGGGGGATGTACTTGTGAAAATGCCCTGTATTGGCACTGATACTGGCACTAGTATCAGTGCATCCCTAATAATTATTATTCATATTAATGTGAATTCATAGAAACAGAATGATAAAATTACTGTTTGAATTAAATGTTTTTTAAACTACTTCTCAAAACAACTGGTGCAATCATTTCAAGGTTGGATATAAAGTTTAGTAAAGTGTAAGGATTTATGTACATGAGCAATGTTCACCTGTGTTTGACGCAGCTCAGTAGATTGCCATTTACATCAATAGCACAGTAGGAGATGATAGTTCTGAGGTTGCGTCTGACCTGCTTTGCATTGCATTTCTCCAAATGCATTGCAGGTAAAGCGCAGTCTTTTGTGTTTGAATGCATGTGTTTAAAGCCTATCTCCGGGCAAAGAAAAAACATACCCGTGCAGTGGTGCTACCACCTGCACTGCAAAGGTTAAAGGAGATCTATGAGGTGAGTGATTTCCACTCATAGTTAGAGCCGACGTGTGACAAAGAAGCTGTCCCAGGTCGGCTCTATTGATCGGGAAGTGAGCAGAAACGTGCCGCCAATCCGCTCATTTCCGGATCGTCTCCCTGCAGTGAGCGGTGATTGTCAGTCACGGCTCTCTGAAGGGATTCTCCCTTCGGCGCTGAGTGGAGTAATGAACGGGGGAGGGGGCGGACACAGCTGGCTCTGCCTCTAGATAGGCAGAGCTAGCTGTCACTTACACAGCTGGGTGGATCCAGACAGTAATGTCGGGATCCGTCCCGGCTTGCAGCACTCTCAGTATATTGCGGGCAATAGCCAAGTATATATTGAGCTTTGGGTCATGGGAGGAGGTTAGTATATGTCCTCCCGTGACCCTAAAGAGAACTATGCTGAGAAACACTTACCCCATAGTTATCTTTTAAGTGCTCATTTTTTTTCTAGCGGACTGAAATAGAGCTGTTTTACGTACCTGATCCCTGCCACTATGGCAGTCGGCACTCGCCTCTCTCCTCCTCCACTCCCGTATTGGAATGTCCATTGGCGTCCTCACGTCTAATGCGAGTCAATGGACCTACATAAGACATGATGATGTCAGCAGTCTATAGACCGTAGGAGTCTGGGGGAGAAGAGGCTGCCGGAATCAGTCTAGAAGCCTGGAGAGGGCCAACGGGACCGTGGATCAGGTAAATAAAACAGCTTGAAAGAAAATCTCTTGGCGCAAATGAACCCTTGCAGTGCGGCTACCCCCGCACTGCAAGGGTTAAATGCTTGTTTGGGTCTAGGGTCTTAAATAAAAAAGATATACTCACCCGATCCTTGATCCCGCCTGGCTGCTAGACTGATTCTTGCAGCCTCTTCTCCCCTGGGTTCCGGCCATCTAAGCCCTGCTGATGTCCTCATGTTTAATACACATCCATTGACTTGCATTGGATGTGAGAATGCCGAGGGACATACCACAGCCTGAGCAGAGAGGGAAAGAGGTGAGTGGTCATCGCCGCAGGATTGAGGATCAGGTGAGTATATCTTTATTATTTGAGACCCGAGACCAAAACGAGCACTTAAACCCTTGCAGTGTGGGGGTAGCCCCACTGTAAGGGTACATTTGTAATTTATCCTGAGTCCATCTTAAATAGTGTCCCCTAGACAAAAGGAGCACTGAACCCTTACAGTGCAGGAGCTAATTGTTTTATTTGCCCTTCTTGAACATGTTAGATGTGTTTTAAAGTCCAGCAATAGAAACTATATATCCATCACATCCAGGCATCTAATTGGGGCCTGGGATGTGTCATTGGTTGCTAGGATGGCAGCTGCCACTAGCATCCTAGCAACCAATGATGCATCCCTTATTACTGGCTGTAGTAAGACCGGGACTAACTGAATAGCTCCCTGCTGCAGCCTGATAAAAAGCCTATGTAGTTCGTCCTTTCACTGAACAGCCTGCATCTCCATCCCTAATCTCTATCTAAAAGGTGGGCTCTTTGCTGCTGGAAGATGGTTTGCTCCTAGTGGTGTTGCTTGAGTGAAGAGGTGGTTTCCATTGGGGCAGAGGATGTGTTGCAGAGGGGATTCTTTTTTTCTTGAGGGGGGTGTTGCTTTTAAGGGAGGAGTTTTGCTTGGAGGGAAGGATGCTTGATTAACCACCCTTGCTTTTGGAGGTTTTTTTTGCTTATGGTAGGTGGGCTTTTGCTGGGGTGAGTTTTTACAGAGGGAGGGATGCTCAGAATCTCCATCTGACACACTTCCAGGTGTGGTTTCTCCCGTCGCAGGTTATTTGTCCTGTACTTCTGAAGGGACTGGCAGATGGAACCAAAGTGTAAAGGAGGGGGAACCCAAAAATGTGGCACAAGTCTCATTAAGCTTTAATTGTTTATCCGAGCTCTTTGTGTGAGTTATATATAAAAGCACAGTGGTGTAGTGGTTAGTGTTTCTGCCATGTGGCACTGGGGGTCCCTGTTTTGAATCCAGGCCATGCCACTATCTGCAAGGAGTTTGCATGTTCTCCCTGTGCTTTTGTGGGTTACCTCCCACACTCCAAAGACATGATGGAAGGTTAATTGGCTCCTGTCTAGAATTGTATGTGTGCTGTGTACATTGTTGATGCAATATAAATATCAATAATAAAATCACAAGGCAGTTTACTATCTTTTCATATGCTGTTTTCTTAATTTGTTATAGGGGTTTCTGTGGTATTTGAGGGTGTCAGTAAAAACATTGCCAACCCTGGACCATGCCCATGTCCGATACCGAGTATTTAGGCTCGTACTCGTCCAAATGCTCCAATACCTTACCCGATAAGGTACCGCCAGTGCCAAGGGACCATGGAGCCTGCCAGAGGCATCCAGAGGTGGGGTTACACCCGGTGCGCGTACCGTAGGGTTGCCACCTGTCCAGGATTCACCCGAACAGTCCGGGTTTTGAATGCTGTGTTCGGGTTTCATGGCAGCTGAAACCCGGACACATGATGTCAGGCAGACTGGGGCAACCAAATCGAGATAGGGGCTACTGCCCCCCCCCACTAAAAATAATCTCAACTGTAATATCTAAATATGAATGGGTGACGCTATGTACATATGAATATGCCACGACTCATTCTCCCAAAAACATTTCCATGCATCGCTAGAGTGTTCGGGTTTCACCGGAAGAAAAGGTGGCAAACCTAATGTCACAGCACCTGCAGATCCCACATCTAACCAAACCATTCGATGGTAACAGTATGATAATAATGGGGTGAATACCCAAAACTGAAGAAAACAAGTATTTCCCAGGCAACTGATGATTATTTCACCTTTAAAAAACCGAAACAATCAAAATCTCCGTCCAATAGCTCTGCCATGGCAGCTTTGATAACAGCCCCCCTGGTGTGTAAATGCGGAACTATTCATCAGGCGGAACCTTGTATCTCTGTTATTGTTTCTATCTGCGCTTACGGCAGAAGGAAATCACGGTCGCTGGAGGCTTTCTGTTTCCTGTTCGTGGTGCATTGTGGGGCAGGCGGGACGCCATTAGATCGTAGAACAGAAGCCACGCGAGGAAGTGAGTATTGTAGCGGTGGGGTGACCGGTGTTGGGATATTGGAGGCTCTACAAGTCGGTACGTGTGTTCGCTGCTTGGGGCGCAGTGCTGTTGCGGCTCCTCGGGGTACATGGCTGGGTACAAGGGGGTAGTGGCGCAATGAATGGGTTCATGGATTAGGAAGCCGGCTGGGTAGTGTTCTGGGCTCCTTCGGTAAGGTAAAGTACATGGTTCCCCCCTGTGGTATATGACTAAACTACATTGGCCTAAGATCCAAGTGGTTACGTGACTTTGTTTATCCTTATTGCTGTGCCAGCTGCCTTAGTGATCAGCCTGTGTCTACAGAAGGTGGATGTACACTCCGATGCAATGGGAAGCCAGGAAGAACCACCCGAACAGACTGATTTTTCCTTCATTAGAGGCTTGGGCATCATGGGGGTGGGAGTGTTGTTGAGAGACATAAGAACATTCTCTGATCTGATGAACAGCCATATTGGTGAGTCTTCTTTGTCTCTTGGCACCTTTTAGGCCTCATGAAGACTCCACTTTTAAAGTTGTGTGTGTATATATTATAAACTCAATTGAACGCAGCTCTATTTCAGCTATGTGTCCATGCACATTGTGGATTTAAATATTTGCAAATGAGCTTACTGGAACAATTTACACTCGTATACATGCAAATTCATTCTAGCGGATAGAATAAATATGCTAGCCAATAAAATAGTTTACTTGCATAGGCCTCAAAGCTGTATGTGTGAGTAATTGTGTGCCAAAATACACACTTTTTTTATTTTATATATTTTTTTCTGATGTGCTTCTGATGTGCTATCAGTAGTACTGTTTCTGCTGCTTTAAATTTGTTTTATATTTTTGTAATTGAGCCTACCTGCAGAGGCTGAGGAACTTTGTTACTGATGCTGCATCACAGTGTTTTACTGGTGCTGTTATTGTAGCATGATGTAGATCAATCATGTTGCATTTAGCAGTGCTTTCATGTGAGTTGAAATACATTGGGCTAACTGGGTGTAGTAAAGAAATGTTTGATTCATGTGGAAGGTTTGAGGGAATTGAAAAATGGTTTGTGAATATCTCATTAACTTTGTTTTTCTTTTCATTTAGGTTTTAATCCTTTATAGCCAAGATGTCTATCGGTGTTCCCATCAAGGTTCTCCATGAAGCTGAAGGACATATTGTGACCTGTGAGACGAATACAGGCGAGGTGTACAGGGGGAAGCTCATTGAGGCGGAGGATAACATGAACTGCCAGGTGAATACTATATCATATGTAATTGGCATATGTCAGGGCCAGATAAATCCCATGAGCCAGTTAGCCAATGCTTCTTAAAAATTACAGCCAGTGCCTGACTTTTGAGGTTTTCTCTAGTTATTGTCAATGAAGCTGGTACCTAAACTAAATTCTGCTGGCTCTTAGATTGCACAGACCAGCTCCTGAATTCTATATTTGTGCACCCCTGGCATAGATAGTCCATGTGTAGAAATACATAACAGTAGCATCTAATGTTGGCCATAAATAAAATAACAGTGCAGAATATTTTTATTCTGTTGTTGATGTAGAGTTATTGGAAGTAGGCATCTTCATTCATAGATTTCTCCCTCAGCTAGTCTAATATAGCACAGCAATGGAATAAAACCTGACCCCGACCACTTCTTGATTGTGTCTGTTTTGAATGTCTCATTGCCAGTGGAGATCACAGATGGTGGAGTCATAAATGCACAAAAAAAACTGTCGTATAGATACTGCTAACTGAGGAGCAGTCTGTATCTAGATTTGTTGTAATTGTTTTTTGTTTTTTTTTAATGGAAGGTAAATAAAACATGTAGTTTTACAGGTAAATAAAACTGTAAAACTACATGTTAAGGCAAAGAGAATGGCATTTATAAAATATAAGAGGGAAGGGACGGCATTGGCGTTCCTTAAATACAAAGAATGTAACAAAAAATACAAACTAGTAATCCGGGAAGCTAAAATAGAATGCGAAAAGCATATCGCCGCAGATAGTAAAAAAAAAACCCTAAAAAATTCTACCACTGTATTAACAATAAAAAGCTAAGAAAGGAGCAGATAGGCCCAATAAAGGACGAAAACCGGAAGTTACTCACAAGTGACAAGGAGAGGGCCAAGGCACTGAACAATTTTTTTCTCCTCAGTATACACTCAGGAGGCAAACGGGTTCGACGTACGTGATAAAACACAAAGTTCAACCGATAATATACCACAATGGTTGACAGAAAGCGGAATAGAACATAGACTTAAAATGCTCAATGCAAATAAAGCAGTTGGACCAGATAACGTTCACCCCAAAGTACTTAAGGAATTAAGCCAGGTTATAACAAGACCATTCCTAATTTTTAAGGAATCCTTAGTGACTGGTAGGGTACCATGTGATTGGCGGAGGGCTACGGTAGTTCCAATATTCAAAAAGGGGGCTAGATGCCAACCAGGGAACTATAGGCCGGTCAGTCTAACATCGGTAGTTTGTAAACTGTTAGAAGGTATAATTAAGGACTATTTGGTAAAATTTGTTAAGGATAAGGGCATAGTTAATGACAATCAGCATGGGTTCAGGAAAGACCGTTCCTGACTGACTAACTTGCTAACTTTTTATGAGGGGGTAAGTAGAGATATGGATGGAGGGAAGCCGGTAGATGTGGCATACCTGGATTTCTCAAAGGCATTTGATGTTCTTGATGGACGTATGTCTTTATTCAACCCCAAATACTATGTAACTATATGTAACTATGAAGGGTCCATCAGTGTCTAGCATTCAGTAAGCTACAGCAGTCAGTGTATAGCATTCCCTTGTTTGCTGGAAACCATCCAAGTTCCTGAGTTTTGATGGGTTAAAGCATCTTGCACTTCATCATTGCTCTCTTCGTTGCACCCATAGATATTGTTGAAGAATGTCTATATGCAAACAGAAAATTGCTTAATTTCATCGAGTGTTGTAGTCTTTGCAAAGTCCTTGCTTGCAATGTTAGCAGTAATGAGATAAAATGGTAATTTTGGACCATAAATGGGTTACTGAAGCAGATTTACTGAAGGTACTGAGACTTTTCACACAAATTGCATTTTACTTATTTGATCTGTGCATGATTAGGTATTCACAGTGAACAGGAATTTGCTTTTCACATGATTGGATAATTAAGGTGAATATTCACACAATTTATGTGGAGACTTCACTCTTTTAATTAATCAGCCCACTTGTCCCTGGCACAGGACCTTCTACCCATAAGCCCATCTTAGTATAGCTGGTTACCAAGCATTGCTCTTGAACAGTCCTGACAGCTTTTAGATTGTGGGCTCAGAAATGCTGCAATGGCACTGCATGGTTGGCAGGCTAAGCCATATCTATATTTTCTGAAATAGGAGTTATTGTGTAGAGCCCTCACCTAAAACCCCAAAAGGTGAAGATTCCTCATTAAACTGTGAAGAATCTTGGAGCTCTCCTGCTACTGAGAAGGTCTCGGACATATAGTGAAACGAGCATCTGAACAGTCCCCTAGCCTTTTACAATTTCTGACCACAGGTTGTTTTTGGAGTTGCAGAGGACAATATATTAAAGCAGATCAGTGACTGCAAGGCGGTATAAGCATAAGCTGTCAGCACACAGCTGCTACTGATTTTCACACCCCAAGGCTACCTGGAGCCTCCCACATTTATAATGGGCTGCAGAAAAAGAGATTGAGGACTCTTATTTTAAAAGGGAAATATCGGGGATCTGTTTAGACCCCCAATATTTCCCTGAAGCACCAAAAAATAAAATGTAATATAACTAAAATATAAAAAAAATTAAGTTTTATTAAAATATTTTAAAAGGTTAGGGAAAAAAATTTTTGGGGGGGTTTCGGCCTGACATTTTTTTTCCCGCTTTCGATTTTCGTTTTGACATTTTCATTTCAGTGCACCTACTACTTTGCAATCCCATAGACCTAAATATCGCATTCTGTACACACAGCTTGATAAATTGGGAAGGGCACAACCCCATTTCTTCACATCTAGCAGGGACAGGAATCCTCTAGATTTTATCTACAGGAGCAGCCAACAATTGCAGAGGTTGTGTTGGCTCTTGTTATTTGGAAGCCTATCATACTTTGCTAACAGTGTCATTAAATCCCAGGTGAAACCTTTTTATGTGTTTAAGTCTTTGATGTATTTATTACAGGTATTTATATAGAACAGACAATTTTATGCAGCGCTTTACATACGGAACATTCACAGTCCCTAGAGCTTACAATCTGAGGTCCCCATTGCAGACACATACAGGGCCAATTTTAGACGGGAGCAAATGAACCTTCCATCATGTCTTTGGCGTGTGGGAGGAAAGCAGAGTACCCGGAGGAAACCCGCGCAGACAGTACATGCTAACCTTTTCTCTATATAGTCCTGCTTTTGCAGAAATTATGATTTGTGGCTAATTTTTACATCCATTTCTGCGAAAGGAAATGCTACTTGCTGGCATAGCTGTGTGACAGTCACACCACTTAGTACAGGTGTCCTCACGCAAATTTGTATTGCAGGGGAAGGGGACGGTTCAGTTCTGTTAGGGCGCGGTCACACTTGCCCATTTTCATGCAGCAAAACTCATGCATTCTGCTGCACGAATATGTCTTCAGATGTAACAGTGTATATCCAGTCTTACAGAGTGCTCATTAATTGGTACAATAGGACTAGGGGCTTATTGTATTGCATTTCTGTTTAGATTCACTGCACAATTGTTGTAACATGAAAGTAGATGCTAGACTGTACCAAACCTCTGTTTTTATAATGTCCATCTGACGATTATCTGCCCCAGAATTTTATTGCAGTTCATTGTACAAGAACAAATCCATATTACCATCCATGTATAAATGCAACTCTGCTTATGGCTGTGCAAGGTCTAGCAATCATTCATCCAGCACATCGATCATTACATTATTGCAGCATGAACAGAAACATTAATGGATCCCACGAAGCATATAGTATATTTTAACTTACAGCAACATTTCCTAGTTTAAATGGCATTTCTGATTCAGCAAATGTCTCGCTTCCATTTCCCAATTTGGAACATTCATATCAAATGTAAGCACTAGCGGGTGACACTATTGCAAAAATAACTCCAGATAAATGAGCCTGAACTAACGTACCTATAGTCAACCTGTTTAGTGTATGTTCAAGCGATGGCTCCACTCAGAAGTTTTCTGATAACTTACTTTTTACACCTTTGCAAGGCTGTATCAAGCAAACTCCTTATAAAGTTTTATCTGCTTTTATTTGGCATTCCCTGGTCCCTCCTTTCCCCTCTCAACATGTTAATATTAGCTAAAGCTTTTCTGTTCTTATAACAAGTACTCGGTACATGTACAGATACTTTTCCAGCTACTAGACTAGAGAGAAATGCAAAAGTTAGGAGTAAGATGTCTTTTGTAAGGAGCACACGGAGCTCCTGGAATTTGTACATCTGTTTTAATGTATGATTTGTATGTGTATGTATATATGTCTATCTATCTAATCTATCGTTTTTTCTAAAGCAATTTCAAGTCAAAAAATGGCTTATTGACTCGATTGCTATAGCATCATCATCATTTTGCTATATGATGTGATGGCAATCGAGTCAATAAACCGTTTTTTGACTTGAAATTCTATTGGAGTGCGAGTGACTTTATACATACACTTATCTTGGATTGCAGATGCATCTGCAGTCACTTTGGCACCCACCTGACCTAAGGGTATTATTAGGTCAGGAGTGCGATGTACGCTGGATTTTTCTAAAACACAGGCTAATGATTTCAGGACAGTGGTGGAGCGCCAGAGGTACTTCCCAGCTGCAACCCTGGTACTTCTCATGAAAAAGCCAAGTATCAGCACTGATATCTGAACATCCCTACTTATGACAACTTAACTTATACCCAGGATGTCATCACTGGGTCTCTGGGCTTCTCTATACTATCCAGGTAGATTATGGCAGGTGGGAGGGGTTTCCTGAAAACATCACAGCATCCTGCCTCGGTACTCCTCTCAATAGCACTCAACCCTAATGCAAGCAATAGTCTGGCTCTTGGGAGAAATTAAAGAAATATCAAAACGGGCGGATGTCATTCTGGAGTAGTGGGTATCCCTAGGCAACTCCCACATATAAAGCTGAGCCTACATAACCGAAAGAGCTGGAATCCAGTGAATGAAGGGGTAGGTGGGGCATGGTCAGTAAGGCTGAGGAGGAAGGAGCTAGATGATGCTGTATTTCCTCCAGCCAGGAAATGAGACAAGCTCTTTCTGACTTGCTGCTGCTTCTAATGCACACTGTGTGGTGAAATCCAAGTAAGAGATTTCAGTGCAGAAGAAGGAGCCTGTGCAAGACTGGAGAAAAGGCTGGAGCTCAGCTTTAACCCTTTTACTGCCAGCGCCATATCCCTTAGTGACGCTATTACAGTATATGGAGAAAATGATAATCAGCTGTGATATAGTGAGCACAAACTATTTGGAAGTTGCCCACTACGTGGCGCAATGTAATTGTGTGAAGTGCAAATACAAGGTGCAGCATACGTTTCTGTGCTGCCTTTTATTTTTTTTCTTCCGATAAATTTTTATTGGGAATAAAAATAGCTTTCCATTTTTTGTTTACAACATAATCTATCAAAACATAAAGGGGGGACCTTAAAACATTACTGAACCTCCCAAGAGTTTAACATGCAACCTTGATTTCTAATGAACTACAAGTAGCACTTAATGATAGTATAAATTGGTCTTGTGACTTTGTGTTCGACAAGATTTATTGCGCTGCATCTAATTTTAGACTTACAGGGTTATTCACAAAAGGGTGAAAAGTTTGGAGAAGGCAGGAGAAGTGAACAATCTAGAACAACATAGCTGATTTGGAAAAATTCTCCCATTCAGCTCACTTTCCAGTTCAGTTATGTTATCCTAGATTGTTCACTTCTCCTGCCTTCTCCAAACTCTTCACCTTTTATGAATAGACCTGCCCACAGGATACCCAAAAACTGTAGCAATTTCTGTCTGTAAACATTTTGTGGGTAACCATACAATTACATTAAAATATAACTGAAAGTCTTTATCCTAAACTGGTCTCAGTTGTCATTAAGAAATAGAGATTTTTTTAATGGAAAAAAATATATGTAAGGAAAATCTAGTATGTAAGTAGAACTACTAGAGGTTCACCGAAATGAGAAAGTCAGGCTGAACTGAAAATGTTTTTGTTCTAACTTTTTTTTTAATTTTTTTTTTATTCATGTTTATTAAATATTTTATTTTTTACTTTACTTTTAGGTGCTTTGGGGAAATATTAGGGCTCTAAACAGACTCCTGATATTTCCCTTTTTTTAAATAGAAAAAGAGATTGAGGACACGAGTCCTCAACTTTTTTTTTCTGCAGCCCTGTTATCAATGAACAGGAATCCTGAGTGTTCCTGTTCAATCATAACATGGGGACATCGTATGATGTAGAGCACTCCCATTCATTAATAATTGAAGATATAGTAAACATACTCTGTCCTCAATTATGTACAAACATTCAGCAATCACTGACTGTTTGTACTGGCTCTCCTTCATGGCAACTGTCACAGGAGGCTGGGCTGGGCGCTGCGGGAGGAGAGCTCAGCCTCCTGTGACCGCAATGACAGCTATCTTTGCCCACATCGCCGCTCCCCATCCTGGATTGGCTGTCACTTCCTTACTACAGCACTAAGACATGCTGGTAGTAGAAGGGGTTATCCTGGGCTGGTCTACAGTGTTTTGTTTTTTGGCAATGTCCAGTCCTCCCTTAAGTGGCAATATAACCCAAAGCTGAAAGACGTCCTGTGTCCCTCAATGGACTTCAAAAGAAGGATTTTATGGCGGTACAAAAATTCTGGCTTTCCTTTAAAGCAAACAAGAGGACCGGATCTGAGGAGGAGCTGTACAAAAAATGGGTTTCGAATTGAGGATCTACAGAGGTGTGCTATTGGACTTCTGCCATTGGGTATTCTGTGCCTCACTGAAGGATTTAATTTTCTCCTTTTTTGTACTTATATGTTTGTTTTCCATAACAGTGGGCGGAAAACATAGGCTGTAGTGTTTCCTGACCCAGTGCATGTGGAAATTAGTCTTGCATGTGTATTCTATGCCCTGATGTGTATTATTTACGAGATGAGGATTTTTTTTTTTTTTTGTGTATGTATACTTGTTTTTGTGTGTTTTTAAGCTAGTACAACCACTTGAACCATAACTCACCCAATGTTTTCTTTCAGATGTCAAACATCACTGTAACCTACAGGGACGGCAGAGTTGCACAACTTGAACAGGTCTACATTAGAGGAAGCAAAATCCGTTTCTTGATACTTCCAGACATGTTGAAAAATGCCCCCATGTTAAAGAGCATGAAGAATAAAAATCAGGGTTCAGGTGCTGGAAGGGGGAAAGCAGCTATTCTCAAAGCTCAAGGTAAGCCTCTAGCTTAAACAAATATGCAGATGAAATACTAGTCTTCAGTCAGTCTCATCCTTCCAGGAGCCTGCTTAAAAAAGAATCTAACCACTTGAGTCCCTAGGCTGTTTTGTTCGTAAAACCCTTTGCGTCTCAGGGCATTTGGGTTTGGTGATGTCTCAGTTCTGCACATTATAGCTTTTAAGGGTTTGTAGCCTGTGCTAAAGTTTGTTTTTGAGACCGATATTGCTTTAATTTGAGAGCCAACTTGGATTCATACATATTTATCCTATGGGGTTTTTTTGGACTAAATAGTCAAAAATTAGAAATGTATTTTCTTGTAATTTTTTTCCCCCAACACACTTATGTAAGTCTGGTGACTAAATATTACATTAGTGCAACTTTTATTTAATGTAGAGAAATAGAAAAGCTCAGAGGCCTAACGCATCCGTCGCTAATGCCAGTTGTGACCCAAGAGAAGTGAGAGTTCATGTGCCACTTTAAAACTGCACAGGGACAAAAAAACGCTATTCCAGTGCCATGTTAACCCCTTCACGACCCATGACAATCCCGTCATGGGTCCTTAAGGGGTTAAACAGACTCCCGGCGACTGTTCATATCTGTGGAGCCGGCGGCCGGCTTTACATTGGAAGCGATTCTGGCGGCTCAGCTGCTGCCAGATCGTTTCTACGATCTGGTAAAGTGGCCTCCCCGCCAGACACCCCTGCTTTGTTTCGAGGGATTCGCTGCACCTTCTGGTCTTTTTTTTTTTTTTTATTTTATTTTTTTTATTTCTTTATTCTACAGGGTCTTGTCTTCCAGAAAATATATATAATGTTTGGGGGTTTAAAGTAATTTTCAGGCCTAAAATGTGGATTATAACGTAACAAACTAAAAAAAGGCCTTGGTTCTTAAATGGTGCCTGGGACTTTTCATAATTGTGTAATGTGATTATGCTGTGGTGCTATATTTTATGCAAAAGACTTTTAGTAATTTGATTTTGAGCTTTATGTAGACTTTTTTGTGACAGATGGAAAAGACAAGCACATAGAGAGGATTTGGGGGGAAATCGGAAGAACATGCTAAACTGATGCTTTTGGTTTAGAAAGAGGCTTTATATTAAATCCTGTTTCCTAGCTGGCCTTGCCAAGTATTGGTAGATTATGCTTTTGTGCACAGATTGCTGCTTGCCATTTTCCATCAAACAAGTGTGTTACAAAGGCATTCCTACATAGTGTTTATCGGCACTTTAGAAGCACTACACTGAAAACAATCCTGTCCCTAATCTACAGTTAAGAATTGTATCTCCTCCTAGCAATGGTTGCAGATTACTTTTTTGGTTCATTGATAGCAGCTTCTATCCCTGAGAACACTAAGCATACAACAATGAATCTATTCTGTAAAACTTCTTATTCCCTTCTTTGTCTACTTTGCATTTTCATACATCAATTTTTTTAGTGTTTTTACAAACCTTTTCATTTTTTCAGTGGCTGCAAGAGGAAGAGGACGTGGAATGGGCCGAGGAAATATCTTCCAAAAACGGCGATAACTTTTTGTTTTTGTATATTTTTTTTTTTTTTTTAAAGAAATTGTTCCAGATATGTAACTGATCAAATGTGTTTTTTGTTTAATAAACCTGTTTCTAATGGTCTCCAGCGGTTTGCTTTAGTTTGCAATATTTTAGCATGTACTTTGGTGCTAGCACTTGTCATTAGGTGGGCCAACAGGGTTATTCACAAAACGGTGTGAAGAGTTTAGAGGAGGCAGGAGAAGTGATCAATCTAGGACAACATAGCTGAACTGGAAAAATAGCTGCAGTTAGCCATGTTGTCCTAGATCAGTGGTTGTTTTGGAACTACAAGTCCCATGAGGCATTGAAAGGCTCTGACAGCCACAGAAATAACTCCCAGAGGCAGATGCATGTTGGGATTTGTAGTTTTGGCACAGCTGGAGTGCCAAGGTTCGCCACCACTGTCCTAGATTGTTCATCCTTTAGTGAATAACCCTGCTGGTCGTCCTTCCTTCCTCTTGACTTTTTTTTTCACACTTTAAAGCAAGGCTGTACTTTGTCTAAACAAGTCTAAGTGTGTATATGTTGAATCACTGAGTGAAGTACCACCCCTCATAAAGCGGCAATAGGGGCTTTTGGGGCTTTGTAGGTGCAAAACGACAGCAGAATAAAATATAGAAACCTCCAATGTATTCAATACCTCATACAGTTGGGAGAATAATGATTTGATCCCCTGCAGATTTTGTATGTTAGCCCACTTACAAAGAAATGAACGGTCTATAACTTTTATCATAGGTGTATTTTAAATTAGACAGAACATCAACCAAAATTCCAGAAAAAACACATGATACAAATGTTATAAATTGAGTTGCAGTTCAGTGAGTAAAATAAGTATTTGATCCCCCAAGCCAAACATGACTTAGTACTTGGTGGAGAAACCCTTGTTGGCAAGCACAGAGGTAAGACGTTTCTTGTAGTTGGTTACCAGGTTTGCACACATCTCAGGAGGGATTGTGATCTACTCTTTACAGATCTTCTCTAAATCCTTAAGGTTTCTTGGCTGTTGCTTGACAACTCAAGTTTCAGCTCCCTCCATACATTTTCTATAGGATTAGGGTCTGGAGACTGGCTAAGCCACTCCATGACCTTTTTAATGTGCTTCTTCTTGAGCCACTGCTTTGTTGCCTTGGTGGTATGTTTTGGGTCATGGTCGTGCTAAAAGACCCATCCACGACCCATTTTCAGTGTTCTGGCTGAAGGAAGGAGGTTCTCATCCAAGATTTCACAATACATGGTCCCGTCCATTGGCCTCTCAATGCGGCAAAATCGGCCTGTACCTTTAGCTGAGAAACAGCCCCAAAGCATAATGTGCTTGACTGTAGGGATTGTGTTCTTAGGGTCATAGTCAGCATTTTTCTTCCTCCAAACACAGTGAGTTGTTGATGCCAAAGAGCTCAATTTTGGTCTCATCTGACCTGCAGCTCTTTCTCCCAATCCTTCTCTGAATCATTTAGATGTTTATTGGCAAACGTCAGATGGACCTGTACATGTGCCTACTTGATGAGGGGGACCTTGCTGGCGCTGCAGGATCTCAATCCATGGTGGTGTATTGAGTTACCAATAGTTTGTTTGGTGACTGGTCCCAACTGCCTTGAGATCATTCACAAGCTCCTCCTGTGTAGTTCTGGGCTGATCCCTCACTTTTCTGATCATCCTTAGCCCATGAGGCAAAATCTTACATGGAGCTCCAGACCGGGGGTGATTGATAGTTATTTTGTATTCCTTCCATTTGTGAATAATTGCTCCAACAGTTGTTTCCTTCTCACCAAGCTTCTTGCTGATAGTCTTGTAGCCCATTCCAGCCTTGTGTAGGTCTACAATCTTGTCCCCAACGTCCTTTGACAGCTCTTTGGCCTTGCCCCTGGTGGTGAGGTTTGAATGGAAGAAAGGGATTCTGTGGACAGGTGTTTTCTATATACATGAGTTGTCGTTAGGAGCACCTTCTTAAATTGACAGGACTAATCTGTGTACTACATAGCCTGGTCTGTGAGAGCCAGCATTATTGTTGGTTGTTAGGGGATCAAATACTTATTTGACTCAGCCAAGAAACCTTAAGGATTTAGAGAAGATCTGTAAGGAAGAGTGGACCAAAATCCCTCCTGATGATTTATGGGACCTTAGATTACTGCAGAGGGATAGGAGGAGGAGGCTGGAAGGACCGGTTATCATACGAGAATCATGGGAAATCCCACGATCGTACGATAAAAGCAAAGTGTATGGAAGGCGTGCGACCGTTTCTACTGTACGGTCGCACGTCTTCCGTCGAACAAGCAGGCCGCCCCTCATTGCAGTCATCGGAAGGCCGCCCCTCAGGGGGGCGGGCTTGCAATGATCGCAAGTACGATCTGCCTGTCCAAGATGGGCAGATCGTACGTTTTTTAAATTACTTTACAACCCTCGCAAGACGAAAGGGTTGTAAAGTGTATGGCCACCTTTTTGGCCTTGTTCACACCAAATGCGGAGCAGATCCGCTCAGGTTTCTGCACACGCAGTGCAGTGGGTTGTGCTGTGTTTTTGATGCGTTTGCATGCGTTCCAGAGAAGGTAAAATAGGGCTTGCTGCAGTTTTTTTCACCTGCTCTGGAACTGCACGCTGCGATGTGAACTGGAGCAAAAAATACCATTGGAATACATTGGACGCAGTTTTGATCCGGTCTGCAACTGCTCCGCGCTTGGTGTGAACAAGGCCTTAGAGCAAGCCATCTCAGGATCCGGCAAGTTACTTCTTTATTTTTTAACCCTAGAGAAAAATGAGCAGTTAACCCTTGCAGTGCGGGGGTTGCCCCACTACTAGGGTTACATGTTTTGCCCGGAGGTCTTTAAGAACATCAGCATGACAGCTAGGCAACTAGTTTTATCCTCAAAGGTTATATGTGAAACCTCTCAGCACCGTAACCCCCCTCCCCCTTATATGTTTTCAAACGAACCCAAAGTTCCCTGGGATAAAGGGTAAACTTACTTTGTCATTTTAATGTCTCAAGTGAATGCATTTAGCTGTTTGTGGGTCTACCTGACCTAGCTTTTCATGGTATATTAAAGGGAAGTGGAAACTTGACACTGATATTTTCCTTGCTGCTCATGGCTTAGACCTCCCTGAAGCTATTGATTAACATTGCCCTTTAGTTTATGACACAATAACGGGGATCTTTGTGTGAAATAAAACTCTGCTGTTTTGGGTGTTGCCAAGAAAATATGGAGATAGCAGCGAGAACGGACAAAGAAATATTAAAACATTTCGATAATTAAGCTGCTCATGTTTCTTCCACATAATGTGCGCTTTAAGTACAGACCATCATGTGCAATCAACAACTGACTGATGCCTGTACCCGTCTAGCTAGTTTTGGCATGAACATATTGAATAATAGCAATATACATGTGCTTACTGTGACCATAGAGTAACCTGACTTTAGTATTTGTCAGCATGGTGCCCGTGTAAAAGCATGCTATAAAATGCACAGTATGTTGACTTGCATTTCACTAGCATTGCTAGAAAACCATTGGAGTTGATTTAATAAAGGCAAATCGGCTATTCGCTATACAAGGGAATTTGAACTTTGCTGGGGAAAGTTCTCTTAGCTTAGTGAATGTGGTGTTAACTTCACTTTGTAAAGAATACCCGATCAGGTGCAAGGAACATTAAAAAAACAGCATTTTTTTTTTTTTTGTCTTGAGCATGATTGGGTGATGGAAGTCAGCAGAGCTTCCCCTCATTTACTAAACTAAGGGCAAACTTCCCCTGCTAAGTGCAAATTCTCTTGCACAGTGAACAGCCTATTTGCCTTTAGTAAATCAGCCCCATGGTATTTATAGTGTAATACGCAATGTAGTAGCTAAGTAGTGTTAATCTTATCTGGGGTCCTGGTTTCAACCCCTGCTATGGAGATTCTGCATGGCATTTCTATATTCTCTCCATGTTTGGGTGGGTTTGCGCCGAGTATTAAAACTTGCACAACTCAAAAACATACTCTTAGGGCTTGTTCACACCGAATGCGGTGCGTTCCAGAGCAGTAGCTGCTGGAACGCACCGCAATCGTTTACAAAAAACTACCCCCTGCATTCTGGGATGGGAGAGGGCGTGGCAGTACATTTAATTCAATGCACCGCTTCCACGCCACCCCCCCTCCTGCCGGCAGTGCGGTGGGACACGTGGCAAAACTTTGCCTGCGTTCCGTTCCACTGCAAACGCAAACAATGCTGCTTGCTTTATTTTTTGCTTTTGCAGTGGAATAGAACGCAGGCAAGTTTTGCGACGTGTCCGATCGCACTTTGGGCAGGGGGGCGTGGAAGCGGTGACATTGATTTCAATGCACCGCCACGTGCCCAGAACGCAGGGGGAAGTTTTGTGAGGGATTGCGGTGCGTTCCAGCAGCTACCGCTCTGGAATGCACCGCATTCTGTGTGAACAAGCCCTTAGCATAATCAGCTTTGTAAAAGAAAGCCAGCAGTAAACAATCTTTCCCAAATATTGCTTTTGGTAGCTTAGGGGGGAAAAAAAGCAACATTTTCTGCCAAGTTCCCACTGACACTGTAAGGCCTGACTGCTTCTCCCCGCTGGGTGCCAGCGTCTGGTTCCGCTCTGTGTCCTCTCCAATCCCTGCTGCCTCCGTCGACACAGGTGGGGGAGAATAACAGGGATTTGAGGGGACACAGACCAAAGCTTGCAGCCGGTGCCCAGCGGGGAGAAGAGAAGCTGGGGATGCACCACATTTTTACTTTTTTTTTTTTTTTTACTCTGAAAGGAAAAACTATTGTAAGGGGGCACTCTGATAGGAACAACTACGGTATGGGGGACACTCTGATGGAGACCAATGATGTAAGGGAGCACTCTGACAGGGTCAATAACTGTAAGGGGACACTCTGACGGGGAACACCGATGTAAGGGAGCACTCTGACAGGGTCAACTATTGTAAGGGGAACACTCTGATAGGAACAACTAGTGTAACGGGGCAGATTGATGGAGACAACTAATGTAAGGGGGACACTCTGATAGGAACAACTACTGTAAGGGGGCACTCTGATGGAGACAACTACTGTAGGGGGCACTCTGATAGCTACAACTACAGTAAGGGAGACACTCTGAT